TAGGAGAGAAGGTAGGAACTATTATGATCAAAACACAGGAAACTGAGGCTCTCCAAAGAGAACTAAAGCTCAGTCCACGTCAGGATGGCCAGGCCCAGCCCAGGGTACATACAGGCAGCTCATGTTCCCCCAAAGGATACAGAGGGGCTAGTTCCCAGCTAAGTGTAATAGACAAAACTGGACTACTAAAATAAAATGATGATCTTCAGTGATCTATAAAGCAGTGTCTCTGTACACTCTGTGATAGATAACTCTTTCTTCTCTTTCAGATGTAAGGCACTTAACATCTCAAACCCACAGTGCAGTATCTGAAGGTATACGTTTGACGTAACAGAGGGGTAAATAAAATATTTTCATGAGACGATGTTACACATGAGAATCACAGCGCTCACAGATGCGCTATTATAAACGAGACGCGGGCGGTGCAATTTTCAGGCAGATAAGGATACTCCCTCCAGCAGCCATGCTGGGACCGATGGAGGAATAAAAACACCACAACACATGACTGTTAGCTAGTTCTCCCAACTCTTCACTAAAGCTAATATTCAACGTCATATAGCCTATTGTAGATCTTGAATTCTATTGCTTATGGTGCGCCCTTTGAAAGAGGTGATGTGGGAGAGTAGAAAAACTATATTGACAGTAGTTTGGGGCCTGCATCCCAAACTTAGGCTGTATTTCCTCTGTGTGACAAGCTGCTTAAGACTCTTAGCAAACGATTTCACTTCTCAGAGCCTCAGTTTCCTCCTCGGTGACATAAGACTGTATCAGCAACCTTACAGGACTTCTTAAAGATCATATGAAATTATGTATATGAACGGCTCAGCGCAGACTCTATTGGTCTTCATTATAACATGCTGGAGTTACTGTAACATCTATATGTTCCTCCCTGATGATCACCAGAAGGATAACGCTGTGTCATTCTCATAATCTTTGCGTTCCCAAGTGCCCAGCTCTGAAACTGAAGAGTTAATAAATCAATGAAGAGTGTCCACCAAATGTTCATATTTTTATGTGAAAGCCAACCAAAGAGATGTGACAAGAAGAAAAAATAACGAGAGGAATTTCGGGCTGTGCAGAGGCAGCAGGTGGGAGCAGCAGCGTTTACAAGGAGCAGCAGGGAAGTGGGCAGCAACCCTCCAACAGCAAGCGAAACAGAGAATCAGCACGCCGTGGCATAAAGCAGAAAACGTCTGAGGTTCACTTGGCAGGAGGCGGGGGGCACATGTCTCACCTCACTGCACCTCAATAATCTGCAGATGCACTGGCAAGTCACACCGAAGACAACGCTTCAGAACACTGTAGTAATAAGTGATCTACCTGGGAAATTCTTACCCATTTCTACTCTGAAAGATGCCAATCAAGCCTTCCCTCTAGGGACTGTTTCTGCAGAGCGCAGAATAACTCAGCAGCCACAGCAGATGGGGACTCGCTCCCGCTTGGCACAGCATCTGGCTAAGATCACGCACACCCACGCTCACAGCCCAAGAAGGCCAGGGGCCTGCAACTACAACAAATTCCACTTACCCTCCAGGAGAAGGCAAAGGACAGAAGCACAAAAATGTTTCACTGTACTGTAAAGAGAAAAACAGACATCTGGACTTGCCTTTTGACAGCAGTCAGCTTGACGGAGCTGAAACCGGCCAAGAGGACTAAAACAGTGCGAACGGTAGAAGAAAAACCAGGAGAGTCGTCAGGTGGTGGACGCCAAGTGACAGAGGCGGCTCGGTGGCAGGTGGGAGAGAGCCCTGCTGCAGGAGTGCGTCGCCTGACGCGAGTAGGGGGAGGAGAAGCATCATCCATTTAAAGAGTGAATATCAGCTTAGTAACCGTCTCCATGAACAATCGGAATGGCAGGTAACCAGAGTAACATGGTGCGGCTGCTGCCCAGTGCTGGAGCGACACCGGAATTTATACGGACAGGTGCCGATCCGGCCCGTGGTGTGATTTTTCTCCAACACGGCTTGACACCGCGGTGCAAGCCAAAGGACAAAATGGTCAGGAAGTATACGGCTTTGGCCAGGAGTGATTTAAAACCTGGACCATCTATTCTAAGTTGGATGAGGAAGGAAATACAGACAGGAAGGAACTGGCGGATAGGTAGAGAGCAAAGGAGTCAGCAGACGAGGCGTTGCAGTGAGATCAAAGCTTTGACCCTGTGGGACAAGGTGGATGGGTGGGAGGGTGTGGTCCAGTAGGGAATTTCTGACTGACTGATCTGAGTCATGAGTAGGCAGGCTCTAGGGAGTGGGAAGCTGGGGGAAGTTGGGGAGAAGATCGCTGGTTGATGAGAAGCCTCAAAACTCATTCAGTCAGGGGCCAGGTGGGTCATCCAGTAAAGCCAGGTCAGGGTGAAGAGTCATCACGGATGAGCGGGAGTAATGAGACAGTTGGCAGGTAACGGTTACGGGGTGGGGGTGGGGGCGGCAAAAAGGTGGCTGATGCTCAAAAGCACCTTCCTTGTTACAGGAAGAGGGAGGAACCAAGGGCTTAATACATAATACAGCCAGGCCAAGCATGGGTACCATGCATCTGAATAATTTTGTATCTGTTACGATAAATCTAATCTACCGAAGCAGGTAGTTCCTGCCCATTTTTAATCTGAAAGATGGAAATCAATTTTTTGCCTGCATTTATACAAAATAAATACTAGCAGACTATTTCTATAGGTTACTACAGGTTTCCTAAGATAAAATCTTCAGTGATTGGGAAATCCACCTTAGAATGTTGAAAAGGGGTCACGCAGTTACCCACATGCTTACAGAGTATAAGTAAATTAATATTTTTTAGAATTTTTTAAGTGGCAAGTTTTTTATCATTATCTTACAACAACTGGCAACAAAGCTTTGCCTCTAAATTGGAAATCTATTTCCTTGTCATGTATCGTGAAGATGCAGGAATCTCATATATTTTTACTATCTCCCCATATGTTGTCACTGATTCAACCTATGAACCCATTTACCATGCAGCATTTTGTACTAAATATTAAGTAAGTATTTCACAGCTGTTCTACTCCTCTCAATAGACTGGCTCAGAAATTGTCTCCTTTGGGAAAACCTCATGGATAGCCACACTTTTACTCACCATTTTCCCAGTTGGATCTCTGCCAATGCATTCCACCAACAGCTCTAGTATTGCACTTAATACATTTGACTGTCAACCAAAACAAGCTTTATGACCTCAGACAAGTACTTAACCTCCCTGGGCCTTAGTTTATTCATGTGTAAAATAGAGAAAATAATAGTAACAACAAATAGGACTTCTGTATCAATTCACACATGAACGCCTAGATGCCTAGAAGGCACTTAGAACAGTGCCTGGCATAGATCAAGAGCTACCCAAGTGTTTTGCTCTTCTTTGAATGATATTTATTTGCAGATATCTCCTTTTGGACTTGTTAGCACCTTTAAAATAGAGACGAGGTCTTAACCTCTGTATCCCCAATGCCTAGTACAGTGACTGGCAACTAACAGTGAATGAATGCATTGAATCAATAAATCAATCTTTCATCTCGCAAAAATGCAAAAACGAAGATGTTAAAAATGGTAAGCCAAAGCATTACCTTATTGATAATCTACCTCGTTCAAACATAATTTAAGGCAGTTTATAAACTACAGCTTGACATTTCAAATATGCCATTAAGTGAGACGAGCTAATATTAAGGTTCAGAGCTGCATCATCAATACCACTGAAATGACAGTGTCAAAATGGCCTTCTCTAGAAGGAAGTACACTTACATACACTTTGAGTCTAAGAATTAAAATTTTTTTTTAAGTCTTGCTATAGGGGGAAAAAAAAAAAGTCCAGAGCCTTGACTCTAGACCAGGATTTGCTACCATCATTTCTTCTACAGAGCTAGGGAACAGGGAAAAAGCTTTAAGGACCAAGTTCATCTACGTAATCTGCCACATTTCTGTAGCAGGAGAGTCTCAACATTGTTGGTGATAAAAGGGGCTCAATGGGGTATCCAAAAGAAAATTCAGATCACCGTGACTGTAAGATCCAAAGGTTCATAAAACCCACAGGTGTTCAGGGTGGGGAGGTTCCTCCAGCCTCCATGAGAAAAACGGCCACTTTCTATACTTCACTTGCATTTCAGCTTTCTACAGAACCCTTGACCAAGGGTCATAACATAACCCTATTTAAAATTAGCACTGCTGATGCTTCACTCATCTCACTCTTTTCAGATGATTTCTAACACTACTGAAAATGAGCCTGTCACATAACCAGTAGGTAGGACTTTCTTTTTTCCCTGGTGTGAGCAAAAAAAGCCACCATAGTCATTAAAATGGAACTGAATTTAATGCAAGTGCATGTTCAGTAAAGTCTGGGAGTGCTAGTGTTTCACAGAGGAAAAGAAATGCTTAGCAGATCCTTGCAGACATCCAAATGGAAGCCTATATAAAAGGATGAGTGTGAAGAGTTGGAGGAAAACGTCTAGCAAACCCAGGGTTTGTCTGCTTCGCTGAGAGCCCCTCACTCTTACTCCCAGGTGACCCTACTACCCTCTCCCCAGAGCCAGAGCAGTATGTTTCAGTATGATCTAAGGTAGGCGGAAACCACCACAGCTTTGGGATCAATGTAAATTCAAGCACTGAAAGAAGACACTAAGGATTAATAAACTTCTCCACATCCTGGAAAGCCCACTGATGAGAACTCACTCAGACCCAGGCACAGGAAAAGATGACCTGCTTTTCCAAACAACTTCACAGCTACCTGAAATCACGTCAAGCAGTAACTTCTCTTCTGCTTCCACAAATAAGCCAGCATCAATATATATATATAAACACTCCAACCAGAGAAAAAGTATTAAAAAGATAAAGATGAAGCACCCCACACACACACACATACACATACACACAGGCGTCTTAATCGTGTGTTTTTCTATAATTAAGTGTTAAGCTTTTATTTACGTATTTTAAATAAAATAAAAAAAATGAAAACTGATGTCTCAGTTTGACAGGGGTTGCATCTGAAGATTAACATTTCCAAGTACATACCTCTTAGTTCCTCATCTTTAAATTACTGCATACATAAGTGGTTGCCTAGGAAACCCGCTGACTGGATGAAGAGGCTCAAATGAACTCTCATTTCCAAGCTTACAGGTATGACTCACTCCCTTTGCGCCCACAAGGTAATTCCTCCTGAGTTCTCAGAGGCAGATATTTTCTGCAACCTGGATGACATTAGAAAAGCAGAATGAGCATTGTTATTCATTTTGAATATAGGTTTCTAACAGGAATAAAAGTTAAGGACAAGGCTCTATATTCACATCAAGTTTAGAAGAGCAATACATATTCTCAAATATGCCTATACAATCTATATAGCGTAGCTATGGAGTGTTGATTTTATGGCAATATGTTGACATGACAGCGATTAAATGTTATACTATAAGAGAACAGAGAAGACACTGGAAGCAGTAAGAACATGGAGACACCAAAGGTGAAAGCAATCAGAGGGGTGTGACCCCCAAACCACTGAATACCCACCCCAAGGTCAGGTTCCCTTATGTGTCTTGCGGCCTGGCTACACTTCTGCCCTGAATGACACCATTACGCCATTAAACAATGACCAGAAAACACAGCGCAGATCATCACATGCCAACAGGTGTGCCACCTGGGGCGAGGGAATCTCTCAAGGTTCTGTTGTAGCCACAGCAGGTACACTGAAGGAGGCTGAAGTCGGTTCAGCCTGATGGTTTCTGAGGCCGGGCAGAACCTTATGTAATTACAGCAAATTAGAGCAGGAATAACTGAGAACAGCCTCCAGGCCAAGGCCAAGGTCAGATGATATCACGGGTGTGAAACTTTCTTCTTTTAATGCCTCCCTGGGTTCACCTTCCTTTGCAATGTGACACTGACAGCTCTCCCATCAAAAAGTGAACTCTATTTCTCCACCCTTTTGAATCTGGGCTGGCCGGGGCCTGCTTAGACCAACAGAATGGGGAGAAAGCGGCTTGGAGGAGGTTCTCAGCAAGCCTCAAGGGGCCTTGCAGCACCTGCTCTCTTGAACAGGCTTCTGAGACCTCAGGACAGAAATGGGACCAGCTGGGCAAGGAGGGGGCGGGGCGACTGGGTCCAGGGCTGGGGGCAGAGTCCCCTACTCCCCCCACCCCATCCCACCCTCCAAGGCCTTGACTCCTTTCTCTGAGCTCTTATCTTAGTCTGGCTGCTTCCTCTAACGTCTTTTCATCATCACCTTATCATCATCTCTTCTTTTATTGTGGTAAGAACAATCACCACCTAAATTTAAAAAGTTAAAACCAGCACTTATGGAGGAGCAGCAAGCAGCCTCTGTCCCCCAGCTCTGCTGCTGTCTCAGGGCTGCTCCAGGTGGAAGGGCTGGGGGAGGAGGGGGGATGAGGAAGAGACGGTACTGAACTCAAAGCCCTCACTGCGTTTTTTCCCTGGATCACTCACTAGTCTGCTGACTTCCATTTTGCTGCTCCAGCTTTGCACTGCACCGAATCCACTGCCCATGCTGATGGCTGGGGTTTCAAATTCCCTCGGTGGCTCCCTACTGCCCTCAGGGTAAAAAATTCAAACTCTCCTCAGCCTGGGTCCCAAAGCTCGTCATCAGCAGACCCCTGCAAAACTCCACTGTGACCTTGAACCTGTAAAAGAAAAACTGCCCCAGACCTGGTGTGGAGCAGAGCCAAGCTGCCCACTTGTGTAAGTCAGAATATCCCAGTGGGAAGCAAGTGGCAGAATTCCAGATAAAAGGCTTTTTCTCCCATGTAATTTTCTAATGAACTTTAAGAAGGTTCAGGCATCTTCTGGAAAACTCATGACCATCCACCCAGCTGACGGTCAAGTATCAGGTGGAGACGAAAGATGTTTAATCAGACAGTCTTTTAAATGATGACTTAATCATTCTTTCTTCCTATAACAAGAATAAAGCGACCAGGGGCCTCTTCTCTTGCATCGCAGAATTGTCATACGATGTTAGCACGTGCTCATAACTGAACTGCCTCAGAAGTTTTCTTGAACAAACCCTAACCTCAAGTGCGTCCTGACACCCTGCAGTTTCCAGCATGCTCCTGGGTCTCTAGCTCCCATGGGCTGTTGAGCAGGCAGCACCCTCCCCCAGGAGCTCCCTCAGAACCTGTCATTCCCCCTGGCTCTCTGTCTCCCCCACTTATCACAACCCTCATCGCCTCTAAGCTTACTTGCATCCATCCTCCCAAACCAAGGTCCTATGTCAGTTCCTCCAGGACGATTAGCCTTGAGTGTCTGGCCTGCAGGTCCTCCCAGCTGCTACTCCATCACCACGCTGCAGGCTCTCTCCCTCACTAGACTGGAAGCTTACTGAAGGCAGCGCTGGCCTTTTTAATTCTGTGCTCCCATCTCACCTCAGAGCCTGGCCCCAAAGGAGAGCATAATAAATGTTTTCTGAATGAATGAACGTTAGTCTAGGGTAGGCGTCAACCTTCCAGGCAAAGCCGTTACATCCCCTTGTGCAACTCTACTTTGGGATGCTCTGAGTTTGGATCAAGTCAAAATCAGATGGGATGGCTTGATATGCAGGCTGTGGTTTCTGCATCTGACTGTTAAGAAGAGAGACAAAGCTGAAACAACTTGACTGAAAGACATAATCACTGTGCAGCCTAGAAACCGTCCCTGAGAAACGGTCTAGTTATGAAGACCACCCCCCGCCCCCCAAGACTGAAGTGGCCTGGAATCCACAGGCGGCCCCATAGCACTCTCCTGCAGACCCGGCATGGAGCAGGGACTTCAAGATGGACTCACGTCCACTGAAAAGCACAGACAGGCCGACAGGAGGGGGCTGAAATGTAAAATTTCCAGAAATCTTACAACCAGAGGGAAAATCCAGGGAATCTTCAAGGAGAAGCAACATTCCAGGGGGATAACAATTTTAAAGCACTCTTACAGAGCTGAACCTTCTTGGCATAAGGACATAAAAATGTAGTTTTTCATGAAAATAAAGGCTTGAGGATGAACCAGGAAAATTCAGGAGAAACTGTGTTTTACGGTTTGTTGGCTTTTGGATGGGGGTGGGAGGACTTCTGAGTGTCTTTAGGGTAAGACAGCCGTGGTCCCTGCCATTTTCCCCAATCTGTCATATCTCTACAGAATCCTCGGTGAGAACAACCCCCCACTGGGGCCCGGGCACCATGTGAGGAGACAACAAGGCAGAGGGCACCCAGGGACTTAGCTCTCTGTCTGCCAGTTACCCGTTTTCCTCTCATTTACGAAAACTTCCATTTGCAACTCAATTTTGCAAGCGTGCTTGCAAAGCGGTACAGTGGGTAGATGGCAGGTCCCGTGTACAGCTGGGGTTTCCCCATGATCCTGCGGGAACAGGGGAGCTGAGCAAACAGGAGAGTTGATATAATCTCATCCCTACAGAAGCCACGCTTTCTCTCCCACGCACGCAGGAAAGGACGGGCACGGCACAGGTGGTCCACACAGGTGGTTTCTGACTGACTTTTTCTTAGCATGCTCATTACACATGGCATGTCACAGCTCTTCATCCCGGTATTATTTTCCCCCCAGATGGCTCAACATTTATCATCTCTTTGAAGATCACTTCAAGGCCTGAGAAGTTCACCTGAACAGTAACTCCAGGAAGCACACCTGGCAAGATGTGAGCAGTAAAAATATGGCGGACTCTGAGCACGAAGGACAGAAGAGCCTGCAGCTAACCAGGGGGGGTGCAGTTAGTGCACAGCCAGGCAGGCACGGAGGCCCCCTGCATCTAAAAGCTCTGTGGAGCTTTCTTTACTTACTTCAGGTAAAAAAGCCAGTATATAGCCAAAGCTCTTAAACTTCAGAGGCCTTTCACCTACCTGAGGGCGAATTCATTTTTTGTATTTCATTTTATAATGCTCAGCCTTTTGCATTCATGCACAACCATACTCAGAACAAAAGGAATGAGTAATAGTAAAAGGAACGCTACAATGAACGGCCATCACGCAACTGAGATATACAATGTATGCAGTACCAATACGACGCCACATTCTTCACATATGAAAACTCGAAAGGAGGCTTACTAAATCGAACAAGTGGGAATCCCCCAACATGAATTTAAGAATCTTTTTGGTGATTAAAAGTAGAATTGAGGGGCCAGGGAAAGGATTTCCCCTGTGGTGACTAAAAGCCTCACTCTGTGTTTGAGTTGTCACACCAAGTGACCATGCAGTGAGCCAAAGCCTTCTTACCATGTAGTTTTTGAACTCTTTTCCCTAGTACTAGATTCTAAGATTGACTTAAAGACAAAATAGCACACGTCAAACAATTTCTCAAATAAGCTCACAGCAATAGGAAGGAACGTGAAGTTCAAATGTTCTGAACAAATATTTTGACTGCTCCTGGTTCACCTTAATGAAACATGTGCAACTATGGATGAAACAAACTGTCTGCACATGTGGGTTTGCAAAATTGGTCATTTTCGGCATCACAAAATTGATCACAAGGTGATTCCATGAACAAATCATTATCTGTATATGTCATTTCAAGAGCATGCCCATTACATGCTAAAACAATACAATATTATTCTTCTTACATTCCTATTTAGAAATGGACTTGAAGCGAACATGTAAATAAAGTCATGTGACTTGAGTGCAAAAGTAATCAGACAAAAAAATTAAATTCATTGAGAATTTTGCCCCACAGACACCACAAAAACAACAAGCAATTTGTCATCTATGGTTCAGCTACTTTACAGGCAGCAGAGGTGTGGGGAGGGCTAACCCACCTGTTACGGTGTCAGAATAGATGTCAGAGCATTAAAACTCATAAATCTTTATGGCAATTTTACACGTAAAAAGATTTCTACCCAACTGATTAGAATACATACATTTTGGTATATTTATTAGATAAAACTTCAGTATGGATAAAATATTGTCATGCTAACCTTCTTTCCCCAACAGTGAAAGAAAAACGAGGCTTCCTTATGCTAGAAGGATAAAATACAAGCTGTGAGGCCATATGAGCAGAACAGAGCCAGCCATGTGGTACATGGATGCAGGGTACAGGGTATGAAGACTTTAAAATAAAACCAATAAACCAAACATATGAGGACTAGAAGCAAGATTCAAAACAGCTACTAACTATACTGAGTTCCTCTTAGGCCTAGGCAATTTTTATTTATTCTTAAGGCTTTAAACACGAAACCGACACTGTCAAAGCACAGAAACATTATAGCCATGGTTTA